TAAATGCTTAGGCAGTTTGTTCAACTCTTCGACATTGGCAGTGAGCTTTTCGTTGATCTTCGTAACAATTCCAGGCAAACATTTGACAATAATGGTAGCTTGAATTTTCACCAGCCTTTCGGCCAAAACAGGAATCCCAACAATCGACTTGTTGATCTTTGACAGGTGGCGGTGAGTGTCGAAAAGCCTAGCTTCTTCCGCCCGAGCCTCCTCGTATGACTCGTCTCCAATACGATTCCTCACGCAGACATAACCGAGGCCGATGCTGACATCATCAGCCGGGGACCGGGCGCGGGGCAATCCTTCGGGGGATTGGAAAAAGGTTCGTGACAACAGCAAGAGTTCTCTGCCCGGTTTTATCAACTTTCTGAGACATTCTTATAGACTCACAGGTCGAGAAATCGATACCTGCCGATAAAACATTGAGGATTATGCTCTCTTCCGGTGTGATAAACTCCATGATTATTTTGGAGATTTGTTCGTAGATGTCATCGGGTTGGCCGTGAACCGGAACTCGAGTTATACCGGGCAGATCAACCATGGTTAAATCGGGGACGCCGTTCTTTTTCACGACTAGGGTTAAGGGTTTGTTTGAAATCCCTTTCCCTTTTCCGGCGATCTCTTCAGTGGCGAGGCTAATTGCGTCGGAGATGTTTTCTTCATCGGTGGGGACTGTTTTGCCGTTGAATTCGAGGAAAATTTCAGGGTTAGGGTTTGGGTGATTCTGGAGACGCATAATTAGGGGTACCCTGGTGCAGATGCCTTGGCCTCTGGGGAGGCTGATTCCGGCGAGTGACTCTAGGACACTGGATTTTCCGGAGGATTGGTCGCCGACGACGACGATGGTGGGGGAGCTGGATGCCTTTCCTGCATGACTTTCAGGTGGCGCAGCCGGTCGATTGTGTCGAGGAGCGGCCTGATTTTGTCGTTGTAGGAAGAAACGATCGGAGCATTGTGAGCTGATGCTACAATTGATTTATCGTCTTCTTCTTCTTCATTATTGATTTTCAGGAGATTCAATTGTGGAACAGAGTCCACGACCGGCGGAGAGGCGGAGCTCCGGGCGGAAGCTGCTTCGGCGTCGGCGAGACCCGATATGAGAGCTTCGTTCGACGGATCGATTAGGAGACCTCTTTTGTAGGATGAAACGGCGTCGTCGTAGTTGTGGCGGCCCATGTGCGCCGCCGCGAGACGCGAGTAGCCCTTGCTCCAGACCGGCCGGAGCTCGACGGTCTTCTGCGCGTCGGAAATGGCTTCGGAGAATCTATTGAGGCCGGCGTAGGCGGCGGAGCGGTTGGAGTAGAGGACGTGGTTGTTGGGGGAGGAATTGATGCCGTCGGTGAAGTGGCGCACGGCGTCGCTGTAGTTGCCGGCGGCGAAGGCGGCGTTGCCTTTGGTCATTGCTCCGCTATCCATTGTTCGATCGAATTAATTAGGTATTTCGTGAAGATTAGACTCTCGATTTTGATTTACAGAGAGACTTGCAGAGTTATTGATCGGAGGGAAGGGTTTTAAGAGCGGCGATTGGGTGGCGGAATACGTCAGGCGGCTGATGTGACGTTGACGTGGCGGGGGACAGCTTTTTTCCGGTCAAGTCTTTTCTCCCTCTCTTTTTCCTTTCAAAGGACAAACCCACATCATTTAACGGTCTAGCCTTTACCACTAGGGTAACGGTCTAGGGTTCGAGTCCCCCCACCCCTATCTCCCCTTGTAATGGACTTGAATTTACTTAAAAAAAAAAAATAATAAATAATTAATATTAATATTGTATTCTCGATATTCTTCTTCACTTGGACTTGTTTATTAATTATTATATGTACACTATTGACTATTGAGTATTGATTATCCTAATCTCCTGGAAT